ACGTGGAAGGTCACGTTCACACGGGTGCAGAGCACAGGGCTCACGTGGAAGGTCATGTTCACACGGGTGCGGAGCACAGGGCTCACGTGGAAGGTGACGTTCACATGGGTGCAGAGCACAGGGGGTCACGTGGAAGGTCACGTTCACACGGGTGCAGAGCACAGGGCTCACGTGGAGGGTCACGTTCACACGGGTGCAGAGCACAGGGGTCACGTGGAAGGTCACGTTCACACGGGTGCAGAGCACAGGGCTCACGTGGAGGGTCACGTTCACATGGGTGCAGAACACAGGGCTCATGTGGAGGGTCACATTCACACGGGTGCACAGTACAGGAGCTTACGTGGAAGGTTGCTTTCACACAGGTGTGCACAGCAGCTCCTGATGACCCTAGAATGTCTGGTGTCATCAGAGGGTTGGAGGACAGCTGACTGCCATCTTGGAGCCACTCATTGTATCTCAAGCCAGACATTTTGAGTCTTTTATTTGGATCAACTGTGAGGAGTCCTGGCAAAATAAATATTTCTATTTTATGATTTGTCACTTACAACACAGTTTAAACTCAACCTCAGACATCAATCTCAATTACGGTCACACAACAGGATGGTGTGTACAAGGCTTCAACCTCCCACAGAGATAATTACATTTTCATAAAGATTTAAACACTTAGTGAATACTGAGTGTTAATGATAAAGTCCACAGTAACTTATTTCTAGGAGGCTGTATGCTAAATAGGGGCTCTGATGGTGCAGTGCCTAAGGATTTGACTGCTAACCTTCGGAAGGAAGATTGGGCAATATACTTCCATAGTGATATCACCTTGGATAACCAAGGAAGGGTCGCTATGAGTAGATTCAACTCGACGGCAATAAGTTTGGTTTTGGTATGCTAAGGGAAGGAATCTTGGTGGCACAGTGGTTAAAGCACTCGGATGCTAACCAAAAGGTCAGAGGTTCCAACTCACCAAGCTGCTCCACAGGAGAAAGATATGGCCATCTGCTTCCATAAACTTATAGTGTTGGAAACTCTATAGGACAGTTCCACTCTGTCCTATAGGGTCACTATGAACTGGAATCAACTCAGAGGCAGTGGGGTTTGTTTTTGATTTTGGTATGCTGACTTTTCAGCCAGAAGAAAATAACCACCCAAAACAAGACTCCCACTGGTGGCCTGGTGAGTTTCAAATGGCAACGAGTTCCAGATAGACCTCATTTGTGTAACAAACGTGAGCCAAGCACCTTGTACATGCCGGGGAGTGTGGCACCTTGTACATGCCGGGGAGTGTGGCACCTTGTACGTGCCGGGGAGTGCGGTGTAGCAAGGCAATAGAGCTATGAGGGTGGAGACCTGAAGAGGAGCCATGGGGAGGAACAGACCAGCACTCAATAACTACAGTGTCAGCGGGTACACGCGGCAGTAAAATGCACACACAGTGTGCCAGCGGGCCCTGAGGCACCTGCAAGGCTTCTGGAAGCCGTGTCCTGGAGGGCGAGCAGATGGAGAGGGGTGTTCCAGGGATTAGGAAGAGCATGTGTGAAGGCATGGAGGAACCCAAAGCCTAACATGTGTGTGGAGGTGTAGAACGGTGCAGCGGCAGAGCAAATGTGATGAGGAAGCAGAGGCAGACATGGGCCAGGTCAGGAAGGGCTTGGACTCTGAACACTACACTGAGCATTCAGCCCACAGAGATTCTCTGAGGGATTTGTAACAGAAAAGAGACATGACCACATTTGGGTATTAGAGAGGTCACTGTGCCCATTGAGTGTAGGATGGAGACAGGTAAAACCAGAGGAAGTGAGGCAGGGTGAAAGGACTGCAGGATTTTAAGAAAGAGATGATAACAAGAACTAAGGCAACAGCCATGTTGAATGGGGAGAAGGCAGAGCTCAAGGGATACTCTGGACCCTGAGCCTGCAGGACCTAGTGACGGCTGAAGAAGGCGAAGAGTGTGCAGGCGCCCAGAAGGACATGCAGGCCTGTGCCCATGTCCTGTCTTGGCTGTGCCACCGTCCAAAACAGGAGAGACAGGAGGAAGAAAGTACAGGTTAGTTTGGATGCATTGGATTGGAGATGCCAGGGCTGCAGATGTAGGTCAGACTAAGAAGGGAGCATGTTCCAGTAAGAAGAAAGTAAGGTGGAAGGAGAGGAGCCTGGAAACCTTTCAGAACCTACAGAAATTCTTGAGGTAGTTAACCAACGTACGTGTAACGGGTATGATTCCACTTCAATCAATACATCATATAAAATGCAACATTTCCCGGGAGTCTTACCTTGAATCAGATCTTTAGCCTCTTGGGACACATTCTTCCAAGCCTCTCCTTCAAAGGAGAAATCTCCCTTCTTGATTTTCTTCATGATTTCCACTGCGCTGGTACATGTCAAACTTCTGTCATGAGACTGGAATGGGACCTGTCCTGATAGCATTGTGTACTGTCAGGAAAAAAGTCACAAACCAGAATGACCGTCACCTTTCAAAGGTACTCTAATGATCTTATTACTAATTTCGTTGGCATGATTTACCGAATGTTACTAGTATTACTGAGTTGAACTGATTATTTGACCTCTATTACTGAAGCAATCAGCACATTTCAGAAACCTATAGATGAATGGCATGGCTGACTGTGGCATCGATTTAAGAAGATCTGTATAGCTATAGGCCGAGCGAGAGGAGCTGCAAAGATGGTCCAACTGCTTCAGAAAAAATAATGGTTAACAGAGGACTGAAAGGCAGTAAAACCCCTTATAGACTAGTTTTTCCTACCTGATCCCACACATTTTCTCCCCAGGACATACCACCAGGTTAGTTAGACACTCTAAACTTTCTAATTTAGGCCTTTCTACTTTGTTTGCCATTATCCCTATTTTCATTTTATTTTTCTCATAACCCTGGGAGTGACATAATATAATCACCATTCTACAGATGAGAAAACTGAGTATCAGTTCCTTAGTAACCTGTCCAAGCTCCAGCCAGAAAGAAGTATGTAGTGGTCCTAAGAAAAGTAAGAGCTAGTATTTATCAACTGTTTGCTGTATGCCAGGTCTATCCTAAGCACTCTGATGCTATTACTTGATTTAATTCTCCAAACGGCCCCAGGAGTTAGGTAGTGCTATTATCACCACTTTCCCAAAAAGAATGCTGGGATGCAGAAAGGCTTGGTGATTTGCCCGTGTTGCCCTGTGTGTCTGTGGCAGGGTGTGGGCATGAGTCCAGTCTAACCTCCATGTGTGTGACAACACATCCACACTGGTTTCATTAATCCTTAGAATGTTGTGACCTTTCAGAACCTAACAAGATCATCCCGACATCCATCCCCTGCTTGATCGCCCACAGCCATTCTCTTTCCTTTAGAGGTCCTTGTAGGGGGTCACATTTCTTAGGGGTCCTGTGGGGGTGAGGCACTCTCAGTCCCCTGCATGGAACCCTACACCCCTAAGGACACAGCCTTTTGCCTTCTTCTCCCTGCACCTCTTATCTCTGTCAGTACAGAGCTTAGTGACTTTTCACAAAGTAGCACGTGTAGCCAGTGTCCAAATCAACAAACAACGCTGCCAGCACCCACTGCTCCCCTCCTGCCCCAGACGGTACCTTTCTCCTGACTTCTGATGCTGGGTTTGCCTGGTTTGAACTTCACATGAGTGGAAGCTGACGGCAGGTATTCTGTCTGGCTTTTCTTACTCAGTACCGTTTGTGGGGGTTCGTGCTTGGCACTGCAATGGTGCTTTTTTACTCCTCTTTATTACTGCATGGTGATGCACCACATGTCTTCTTAGTCAAGAGCTTCCTAATCATTTGCCCAAGATACCTGTGAAGCATCACCTCCCCTCACATCCTCTGACCCTCACCTGGCTCTGGGGCCCTGCTATCCAGACAGCAATCAACTTCCTCCTAAGGCCGACTGCGCCTCACCTCATACCTGCTTCATGTCTACTCTGCAGGTGTCTTTCTGCCTGCTCTGAGGTTTCCTGGCTGCCACAGAGGTGAGAGATGCCCAAGGGCACCTTCAGCAATCCCCGCCCCCCACATAAGCCAGGAGTACATGAACTTACTCTGGGGCAAACTTCTTATCAAGGGAGCTGAAGGCAGCAGATAACTTCTTCCCCTGACCCCTCAGCTGACTGAGACTAGCAGGCTATGCGAGCTCTTTGAAGATGGTCCCAGGGGACGCGGCAGCTGCTGTGCTTGGTAACAAGCTGGCCTGCTCAGTAAGACACCTATCCTCCATCCCTGCCTCACTTTGCTGGTCCCTCCCTCCTTTCTCTGGCTGGACAGCAACAGGGACCCCATTCCTGGTAGAAAGTGGGGTGTCAGAACAGTGAATAATCCAACTTCAGAACCCCTTCCTAAAGGTCTGCTTTCTGGGCCACTGCTGGTGCCACCTCTCTCAGCCTGGGTCCCCGGGGTCTAAAGTAAAAGTTCATGTGCAATGACAAAATTAGTGAGCACGATCCCTGAGGAGAAGGAATGGAGGGAGTGGGGAGCGGCAGCAGTGCTCAGTAACTGCAGGACCTGGCTAAATGGTGGGACAAGTCACCACAGCTGCTGGCCCTGCAGGCACCTCTGAATCCAGTATTCTCCTGGACTCCATCAACAGGAAGGACCAAAGCAGGAAGGCTTCACAGGCCAGGGGCACCATTCACAGTGCTGCCTCAGGACCACAGTTAACGTTCCTGCTCTGTGTTGTAAGAGTCTACAGCAACACAATCATGTGGACACTGTGAAGACCACACAGTCTTCTCCACACTGATGGCTTCACGAAATGCGACCTGGTGAGGAGGACCCGGTAGGCATCCTAGATGCTTTACAAGCCACACACTGTCAGAGGGTGGGAGACAAATACCACCAAGGGTCAGGGACTGTCACACTGATCAATTTTAGGGCTCCAGTGGTCAGGTGTGTACTGAGACATTCCCCTCTAACGACAAACTACTGTACCTAGTACCACTAAGGAAGAGGCATAGCACTTAGTGGGCCTCTTTGGAATATGGAGGCAGCATACATCACACTTGAGGATACTGCCCAACCCACGTGCTGAGGGACTTGGAAGGCTGCTGGTTTCCTGGGGGGTGCAGAGCAGAGAGGGCTCTGCTGCAGGTCTAAGATGTCCTGCCAGGTGGACCACAGGATGCAGGAGATCCAACTGTACCGGAGGCCTGTGAAGGATGAGGATGCTGGGGGAGTTTTGAGAAACTCCAATACAAGAGCCACGGAGCAGACCTGACAAGAAACAGCTTCGCATCTAAACAATTAGCAGTGACTGCTGACATCACCCGATATCCAAGCAACGTTCAAACTTCCCTAACTGTGTGTACACACTGTGTATACACCGTAACAGCAGCTATACAAAAGAGTGTGTTTGAATTAGGATTCAAATAAGATGCAAACACACTGTCTCCTAAGTGTCTTCTCATCACTTCCCATGCCATCTGCCCTTAGAGTCTATTTGCTGGAAACACTGGCGTGTTTTTCCTGTAGAATTTCCTCATATTCTGGATGTCACTGACTGAACTCCTGGGGCATCATTTCACCTGTCCTTTGTCCCCAGTTTGTCTTAAATATCCGGCAGTTAGAGGGAGCAGTGCTTCTAACCGTGCTGTTACACAAAGTTACTCCCCAGTATGGCCTTCGTAACTTCTACGACACATGTTGGCTTGGCTAAGACTGTCTTTTAAAACCTTTCAGAGTGTGATGGTCATAAGTGGCCTATATGTAAAGTGGGATCTCTTTCAAGATGAGTAATCTTAAATCATCACGGAAAGTGAATGGCTCTTTTTTATTGAGACTGTTAAGGACAGTGCTCCTATTGGAAATGCCATCTACGTGAGTCCTTAAACAGAGCTCTCCAGCCTACAGAAGGTCATTTTAAAAAATTTTATTAAAAATAGTATTATTCATAAATATGAAAGTTCAGTTTGGGAATTTTAACCATGACTTAAAGCTGGTGAAATGAAATCTGTAAGAAGCTTTAAAATAAAGAAGTAACAACCTGCAGGGACATGTGACTAGCCCTTGGTGGTAAACCTGACATTGAAAGAAATCCCAGATGGAGTAACAAATTAAGTATGACAGTAAAATATAAAAATTTCAGAAGAAAGTTTGTTGTTGTTGTTGCTAAGTGCTGTGGAGTCAGACCCAACTCACAGTGACCCCTCCTTGGGTTTCCGAGGCAGTATCACTATGGAAGTAGATTGCCCAACCTTCCTTCTGAGGAGTGTCTGATGGGTTTGAACTGCAACCTTCTGGTTAGCAGTCAAGTACCTTAGACACTATGCCACCAGAGCTCCCGAAGAAAGTTAGGAGAATATTTTTATAATCTTGGGTTGGGGGTAGGCCAGGTCCATAAAGAAAAGAAATAACACCCCCTCTGCTACAAGAGAGAAATGAGCATCTCCATTTAAACCTCTCTGAAGGCAAAAGTCAAAGCCCATATTGCCGTGAACAGACAAGTGACAAACCAGGAAAACATTTCTAACAGTCCTGACGAAGGATGAAAGTAGTGGACTTAATGAGGAGTTCAAACAAGAAAAAGAATGACAACCCCATAGGAAACGGGCACAAACAGCAATTCATAAAAAAAGAAAATACAGATATTCCAAAACATATAAAGATGCTCACGCTGACTATTCATCAAGAAAATGCAGGCTGAGTTTAAGACCAGTGGGATATAAGTTTACATCATCAACATAACTGCTGGCTAGTATCCAGCAAACTCGCATGATCTGATGAACTTACAACCTGGTGTAACACTCTAGACAATAATCTAGGCTCATGTGTCAAAATTAAGATATGCACACCCTTCTCCCAGGAATCTCCCCTAAAGAAACAATGAGACAAATGCAAACACGTAAAACATGTTCAACTGTGTAGTTGATAATCAGTAAAAAACTGAAAAGAAGAAACCAATACTAACTGCAGATTACTAAGAAAGTGGTTAAACATCTGTATACTATAATACTGGCTGTTAAAAACCCAGACATAGATGGATGGGAGGAGAAGTCGGCAGAAGCTGTAATGCACAGACACACCCAGACAACGAGGAGGGAGGGAGAGTGAGCGTGCACAGACACCATCCCAGCTGGGAAGAGGACGGGTGAGTTTCTTTTCTTTCTTGTATCTTTCTGTATTGTCTGAAATGATGTAAGATCATGCATTACAAATTATATGCAGAAAAAGCAAACATATATTTTGAGAAAAAGTACATAAACAGACAAATATCTTGTGGGACTAATACCTGAAAACAGATTTGACAGGGCTTATGTCCACATATGTCCACATATGCTGCAAACATATCTGTGAACACAGTAGAGCAGGGGCCAAAGTTATGAAAACTTGTCAGCCGTGATGAAAAATCCTGAAGGAATGAGTCACTGAGTCTCAGGGGCCATCAAGGTCAATTGACACAACACAGCCCACAAGACAATGTTCCACATCCTGCTTTGGTGAGTAGAGACTGAGGTCTTAAAAGCGTGTGAATGGCCATCCAAGATGCAACTACTGCTCTCTCCCCATCTGGAGCAAAGAACAGTGAAGAAAATCAAAGACATATGGAAAGAATTAGTCCAAAGGACTACTGTACCCTGGGAACCTCAGCCTCCAAGTCCCTGAGACCAGAAGAATTACCTGGTGTCTGCCTGCCTCTTAGAGCACTACTGACTGCTCTTCAAGGGATCACAATGGAAGGTCCTGGACAGAGTGGGAGAAACATATAGAACAAAACTCAAAAATCATAAAGAAGACCAGACTTACTGGTCAAATACTGATGGGTGGAACCCCCAAGACTATGGCCCTTGTCACCCTTTGGAGGTGCAACAGAACTCAATCCTGTAGATCTATTTTCAGTCAAACAGTAGATAAGTCTACAAGGTGAGCATAACTCTAAGAAGGCACAGAGAAAATGAAAAACAATAAAACACATAGCCTGGATTTTTCCAGCTTAACGTGCTGTTTCGATCATGGCAGCCAAGGACACTTTGTGAAAAGCATGCTCACCATGATTTTTACATCAATAAGTTATTACAATTATTTCTAAATTTTCCTACTAATTTGTTGATTTATATTTTTAGTCAGAAATCCTCACAGAATAGTTTGCAAATGTGTTTCTATTAATGACCCCCTTAGTTATTTTCATGTTATATTCAGTATAATATGCACAGCTTTTGAAAATAAACTATAGTTGTTCATTTAAAAAAAAAAAAACCCAATATAGAATTCTTTTATTTACATAAAATGCAGCTACCTTAAATATTTACAATATAAACTCAAATAAAAATTCTTAGATTTTCCCAATGTAACTTTTAAGACAGGGAAATATTCTCTGATCAGGCCTTTAGCTGGCTGCACAAAAATGAAATCAATCCACCAACTTTTTCATGAGTTTAAGAAAAACAGCAAGGAGAGCTAAGAGCATAGGTGGCAAATAAGCACGCAGGTCCAAGGGCTCTGCTGAAGGGACTCACCAGGACGACACCCAGGCTCCAGAGGTCGCAGGACTCATCATAGCCATTGTGGTTCAAGAGCTCGGGGGCAGCGTAGTGAAGGCTGAAGCACGGCGTCTTCAGAGGCTGGTTATCGGGCGGCTTTAAGCGTGCAAATCCAAAGTCAATGACTTTGATTTCCAAATTGTCATTTTCATCAGTGAACAATAAATTCTGCAAGATACACACACTTACATTAGATTGTTCAATAAAATGTCACAAAATTTGGTGATGCCACTTATGTAACACTATCTATCTGTATTCAGGAACCAGCGGTATTGAAGGAGGAAGGTGAAGCTGCACTGAAGGAACTGGTGAAAAACAAGGCTCCAGGAACTGATGGAATACCACTGAGATGTTTCAAGAAACAAGTGCCGTACTGGGGGCACTTATTCATCCATGCCAAGAAATTTGGAAGACAGCTACCTGGCCAACTGACTGGAAGAGATTCATATTTGTACCCATCCCAAAGTAAGGTGACTCCACACAATGTGGAAATTATCAAACAGTATCATTAATATCACATGCAAGTAAAATCTTGCTGAAGATAATTCAAAAATGGTTGCAGCAGTATATTGACAGAGAACTTCCAGAGTTGGATTCAGAAGAGGTCGTGGAATGAGGGGTATCATTGCTGATGTCAGATGGATCTTGGCTGAAAGCAAAGAATACTAGAAGGATGTTTATCTGTGTTTTATGGACTATGCAAGAGTATTCAATTGTGTGGATCATAACAAATTACAGATAACATTGAGAAGAATGGGAATTCCAGAACACTTAATTGTACTCATGAAGAACCTTTACATAGAGCAGGAAGCTTTCGTTCAAACAGAACAAGGGGATAGTGCATGGTTTAAAATCAGGAAGGTTGTGCATCAGGCTTGTAGCCTTTCACTATACTTATTCAATCTGTATGCTGAGCAAATAGTCCAAGAAGCTGGACGACATGAAGAACGTGGCATCAGCATTAGAGGAAGACTCATTAACAACTTGCAATATGCAGACGACAAAAGCTTGCTTGCTGAAAGTGAGAATGACTTGAAGCATTTACCGATGAAGATTAAAGACTACAGTCAGCAGTACAGATTATACCTCAACATAAAGAAAACAAAAATTCTCACAACTGGACCAATAAGCAGCATCACGATAAATGGAGAAAAGACTGAAGTTGTCAAAGACTTCGTATTACCTGGATCCACAATCAACATCTATGGAAGCAGCAGTCAAGAAATCAGACATTGTATTTTACTGGGCAAATCTGTTGCCAAAGACCTTTTTAAAGGGTTTAGAAGCAAAGATGTCACTGTGAAGACTCAGGTGTGCCTAACCCAATCGCGTCATATGTGTGTGAAAGCTGGACAGTGAATAAGGAAGATGAAGAACTGATGCTTTTGAGTTGTGGTGCTGGCAAAGAATACTGAAAGTACCGTGGACTGCCAGAAGAATGAACAAATCTGTCCTAGAAGTGTAGCCAGAATGTTCCTTGGAAGTGAGAATGGCCAGACATCGTCTCACCTACTTTGGGTCATATTTTCAGAAGGGGTCATTCCCTGGGGAAGGATATGATGGTAAAGTGGAGGGTCAGTGAGAAAGGGGAAGACCCTCAGTGAGATGGGCTGATATAGTGGCTGCAACGATGGGCTCAAGTACAGCAAGGATTGTGAGGCTGGTGCAGTGTTTTGTTCTGTTGTACATGGCGATGAGTCAAAGCTGACTTGATGGCACCTAACAACATCTATCTGTGTATCGGCATTTGGATTTATGCAGAGCTTTGATGGGGAGCGTGTGGGGCTGGATGTCTGTACAGTGTTGCTCTCTGCATTAACTGTTCTTATTTCAATTTTGTAAGGGCATGGGAAAGATTTTTCAAGTGCTCCATGCCTCGTCTGATGGCAGAGCATTTGTCTAGATGTTTTCCTCTACTTAAATTTGGCCTCTACTTCTTCAACCAACCTCCCTCCCCACTGAGCTCACACACACCTACTCCTCATTTAGAGATCCTACCCTACGCCTCCCAGTATTACTAGTTCAATGCCTTTGTCCCCCTTTAGACCATAGTTCCATGAGGGCAGGGACTGTGTTTACCAATATATGACTGTATTGCCAAGGCCCGGCACAGAGAGAGTCACACAGTAGGTGCTTGCTAAGTATTTGTTCATTAATTGATGTCAGAACAAGTTATATAACACCTAGTATGTCTATTAAAGAAGATATGGAGATATGCATTACATTTCAGAAATATTTCCTCTAAAACAGTTAATACTTAAAACATTTTTTGTGCTTAAAGATATTATCCTTCACTGGTCTGATAGACCCTGGTGAAACCTCTGAGACTATGGCCCCTAGTTACCCTTCAGGCCTGGAACTGAACTCACTCCTGTGGCTTCCAGCCAAACAATCAACAGGCATGAAGATGAACACTTACACCAGGTAAGTGCACTCCTTAGAACGATCAACCATGGAAGATCAGAAGGGCAGTATCTGCTCAGGAAGGACAGGAATGCATAGGAAAGAAGGATACAGGAAGAAAGGAACTCCTGGGCGGAAGCAGGAAGAGAGCTGTTACATTATGGGAACTGCAATCAATATCATGAAACAAAATGTGTATGGAAAATTAATTTGCTTTGTAAACTTTCACCCAAACCACAATTTACAAAAAGGCAATATTATCCCTCAGTTATTCAGAAAACATCTTTATTTTGAATCATTCATCCACCAAAGCTTTGAGACTGCTAAGGCTTTACACAGGGAGCTCTGGTAGCATACTGTCTAAGCCACTTAACCGCTAACCTGAAGGCTGGTGGTTCAAACCCATCAGCCACTCCTTGGAAGGAAGGTTGGGCAATCTACTTCCGTCGTGATACCGCCTCACTCAAGAAGCAGTCCCTATGAGTCGGGTCCGACACCATGACACATAACAACAACAACAAACACTACTTTTGCATTTACCACATGCTTAATAACTGTACTTATGAATAAAGAGATTTGGAGGTGCAGTGGTTAAAGCATTTGGCTGCTAACCAGAAGGTCAGCAGTTCTAACCCACTAGCTGCTCCACGGGAGAAAGATGAGGCAGTCTGCTTCTGTAAAGATTTACAGCCTTGAAAACCCTGTGGGGCAGTTCTCCTCTGTTGTACAGAGTGGTGATGCGTTGGGATCAACTTGATGGCAGTGGGTTTTGATTTGGTACCTGATGAATGAATAGATTTCATCAATACACTAAGCTAGTACCCACGGTATTGGGTCTGATTATATTGTCTTTAGAAATGTTAACAAAATCTGCTGTCTTGATGTTCATTAAGTCATTAACTAGCTCTCAAATGTTATTTGATTGGTTAGTACTATTTTAACTGAAATAAAAGACATCATAGAAGACTTCACTGATACAAAGAAGAAAAATCTTCTGAGCCTTCCATTTAGAAATTAAAAATCAATAGAGTGGGAGGAAAGAGCAAAGAAGGGCAAAAAAAATTAACTGAGAAGTCTTCTAAAGTTTCTATCAAATGCTGTTTAATCCTGAATTTGCTATGGATGCCAGGCTTTATCACAACTGTAGTGTGGTTGGGACGAGTCTTTTAGCAAATGACACCTGAGCCCCTCCACATGCAGGGCACTATGCAACGTACGAAGAATGGGTGAGGCTCACGTGGCCCCCCTGCACTGAGCCTGCCAGGTCGTGGGAATGACTTGAGTTTATTCTATATTAAGGCTGATGAAGTGTCCTTGAAGTGGAAGAAATGGAGGAAAGGAGGGGACACGACATTACTTCTATTTTGGTGACTTTGATCCCCCTCCTGGGTGTTAGAGACGGCTCAATGGCTTCTACTGAGACTAACTTCATCTTTTTTTTTTTTTTTCTCTTTCAACAGCATGAGAACCAACCAGTTGGAAAAGTACAAAGCAGCTGACCAAGAATGTCATCGGGGTTCTAAATTTACCTGATTCTCACCTAGAACTTAGGATTTTGCCTATGCAGAAAATAAATGCCAAGTAAGTATCAACCAACCGATGTCTAATCAAATCTTCAAATGCCACATCAATGAGAAAGAGACTAATTTATATATATAATTTCCAAACAAGAGACATTTAAAAGGCATGGCAAAAGTTACTTTGTTACAAAAACGTCAATACAAAGGTACATCCTCACATCTCCCACTGAAGGTTTGATTTAGGACTGTACCTTGTAGTAGAACATCCTAAATCATCTGACGATTCTGCTTCGTTTCAGACGACTAGTGAGAAGAACAAAGAAGAAGAACTAAGCTGTGTCAGTGCCTTCCTGTTAGTACAGTAGGAAGATGAATCTAAATTTTGCTGGAGAGGACAGTTGGCTCATCGAGACTCAGGAGATGACAGATGGCCAGTTATCAAAGAACAAAACATGTGAAAATGAATTCTATACAGTCATGGAGCAGATCCTATCAATTAAAGAAATTACATGTTTGTTCCTTGTCTATCAAGAAAACATTTAAGTGGTGTGCTTTCACATTTAAAAATAGATGCCCATCTCCCATACACAGAGCGCCATATTGTTAGTGGGTGTGAAGTAGGAAAGTGAGAACTATGCTGAAGGAAGCAGGGGGGCAGCTATTATAGTTGCAAGTTCAGAAAACAACTCATTGTTGATTAATTGGTAGTAATATGATTAATGATCATAATAAATACATAGAAGCTTCAACACTTTAACAGAATAAATCAATTGTATTTGAATGCAAAGAATCCCATTTTAAATAATCCAAGATATTTAATTAAAAGGCAAAAATGGTGCTTTTGGAGAAACAGTCTTTTGTGGTCTAATAAATAAGGAACCAACAAGTCAATTATCCTCTTATATGTACTTGCAAATGCATTATAATCACATGGTAATTAAAAATGAAATTCTATTTTGGAGAAGAAATATGTATAATTCTGCATATGGTAAAGGATGATTCCTTATCCTTTTATAAAAATTTGGTTACTAGTTTTCAATTTTCATAATTATTTGCTGGTTTTCTTACAGGGAGGAGTTTTCATATTTTTGACACAAAAAAGAGATCATTTTAGAGTCAGAACCTTTGTTATTAGCTTGCAAAATAAGAAAGAGCCCAAAGCTGCTGCTTCTGTAGAATACATAGTTCTAGAAATATTACAGTACATAAGCACAGAAAAACACACGTGAAGGCAGCATAACTAATTAAACCAAGACAATTCTTTCTGTTTAAATATTTAGGACAGAATTACATGCCCCCCACTCATGAGCTAATCAATTTGATTAGAAATGTGAAAAATAAGCTTTCAAAATAGATCGCTCTTAAAAACCCTCTAAAATGGTGTATCTAGAAAGAAAATTATTTTCTGCTACAAAAATTTCCATTGTTATTTTTAGTCTACAACTGTTGCATAAAGTATTTCTTCCATAAAAGGCTCTCACACTTACAAATATAACCTCAAGATGGTAAGATGGTAAAAAGAGAGACATGTTCACTTTAGACAGAAACAGAAGAAGAAAAAAGACCAAGATGATATCCAAATATGATATTTGCAAGTACCTATAAGCAGGAAGCCCTAAAACTAACAACAACAACAACAACAAAACCCCACACGTATTCTGGGGGTATCTGATAATGATGCCAGACTGGATTTGACGGGACGGTGTGATTCTATACCTCAGGTTTCAAATCCCTGTGTACCACTCCTACATCGTGCATGTGGCTCACAGCTGAGACAAGCCTCCGCATGATGTAGCTGGCCTCCGTCTCACTGAAGTGCTTCTTTTTCTTAATGCGCTCAAACAGCTCCCCGCCGTTCAGAAGTTCCATCACGAGAAACGTGTGAAGCTAGGGAAGAAAAAGGAATCAGGTAGGGGGTCTTGGTGAAGGGCAGGGTCTGCTAACGTAGGAAATATTTCTCTATCAGAAAGCGATTCTCCTTCGTCAATAAGTCTGAATAGTCCCTTTTTAAAGTGATCAAAAGCAATGCCTGCATTTTAGAAAGGCGAGCTGGAGGACAACACAGCTTTTTTAGAATTCTGTCTCGGGCATGGAAGATTTCAAGTACCACAGCGAAAGCTGTGTATCTCTCTTCCTTGCCTAATTCCTTCTTTTCTGTTCCCCTCCAACCCTCTCTCTCGTTCATAATCTTCCTTTGTAGGCAGTAATGTGAAACCACCTGCTCTAACGAAGACAGAAGATGGCTGAAGATGGCTGACCGAGGAGGAGGCAACTGCCCCTGAGAAGGCCATTTAATGGCAAATTTCCCTTTTGAAAAAGGTATTGTTTGATGACGTCATTTTGAAACCTCCTGTTAGGTTCAACACAGCAGTTTCAGGCTTCCTGTGAAATACCCATTGGCAAATACCCGTAGTTCACTGTGGTTGTGACTATTTTTTTTTTTTTTTATAATTGCTTTTGATCCCAATGTCATTATCTTAATTGGTTATTTCATGAGTTATATACTTAATCATATGCTACTGCCTCAGAAACCCAAGGAGGGGTCGCTATGAGTCAGGTCCGACTCAACGGCACATAACAACAACAACAACATACTTAATATGCTTTCCATGCATTTCCATGAAGAAAATAATGTAAGAGCTATTGAAAAGCAAAGGGCAAAGTAACTCTCCAATGAATACAGATGGATCATGAAAAGATACCAAAACAGCACTCAGATTCAGGTGCTACATTACTCAACAAACAAGATGTTTCCTTCAGAATTAGCGAAAACTGCACCTGTTGGTCAAACGATAAATAGTGAGCAACTCTTTTAATGAGAGAATTGTTCTTGGGCCTCTAGAGATCAGCTAATTTGAGTTTCTACAGCAAACAAGTTGTTGTTATGTGCCGTCGAGTCGGCCCCGACTCATAGCGACCCCTCCTTGGGTTTCCGAGGCAGTATCACTACGGAAGTAGGATTGCCCAACCTTCCTTCCGAGGAGTGGCTGGTGGGTTTGAACCGCCAGCCTTCTGGTTAGCAGGCAAGTATCTTTGGTAGCATAGTGCCTAAGGCACTTGACTGCTCACCAGAAGGCTGGCGGTTCAAACCCACCAGCCACTCCTCGGAAGGAAGGTTGGGCAATCCTACTTCCGTAGTGATACTGCCTCGGAAACCCAAGGAGGGGTCGCTATGAGTCGGGGCCGACTCGACGGCAAACAACAACAACAACAACAACAACAGCAAACAAAGTCAAGACTGAAAGTCTGCTACAGGCACAGACCAGTGAGCTTTAAAAGACGGAGGGCAGTATCTACAGTGGTTTAAAGCTTAGGTTTTAGTGGCAAGGAGTCCCCGGGGGGCAAATAGTTAACACACTTGGCTGTGAACTGAAAGGTTGGAGGTTCCAGTCCACCCAGAGGAAGTTCAGAAGAAAGCCTGGGTGACTGACTTCCAAAAACTCAGTCACTGAACGCCCCGTGGAGTTCTATTCCAACACATGACATCACCATGAGTCAGAATCGACTGCAGGGCAACTGGATTTTTAGATCAACACTGGATTTGAGTGCAAATCCTGCTACTTATGACCTTGGGTTGATGGTGCATTTCCTCTATGTCATCTTCAACAAGAGACTGTCCAGTCTCCTCTTAACACCTCTAATGGGAAGGGACTCACTTCCTCCACTAGAGTTGAGTAGCTCAATGGGGTGGGAGACCACAGAGGGGCCAGCAGAGGGGTCTTCCCCTCCCTCTCCCTTCAATGGCATTCCTTTTCTGACTATAAGAGCCAAAGAGAAAGAGGATGATGTCACTTTTGGGTGCTCACTTTCCTGATAGCAAAACCAGGCCTTGTTTCTCTCTCCCCAAGGCAGGACAACAGTGGCATTCCAAGCTGGGGCTCTGAAGGTGCACTGCGTAGGATCAGATGCCAGCGTCACAACATATAAGCTATGGGCCTCTCTTACTTCCGTGAGTCCCGTTTTCTCTCTCATAGCGTTAATACACTGTTGTGTGTCACCGAGTACATTCCGACGCAGTGACCCTATGAGCATGATCTGCTCCACAGGGTTTCCTAGGCTGTAATCATTATCCTAGCAGTGGCCGGGTCTTTTCTCCGGAGGAGTGGCTGCTGGGTCAGAACCGCTGACTTTTCAGTTAGCAGCCAAGTGCTTAACCACTGTGCCACCAGAGATCCTTAGGGTTACTATAGGGACTGAGTAAGGTGGTACGTGTAGAGTGACTGGTATGGTACCTGGATCACGAGGAATGCACTAACAAGAGGCAGCACTCATAATTACGATGCTGCTGCTGTTTCTGCCTGTTTTCATAGTGACGGCTCATTCCCAGTCATGGTACTCTGGGAGATTTCAACGCGGCTGCGTTCAATGAAGCAGGCTGCAGCTATCCTAGGTCAGCAACACAGTGAAGAGAGCCTAGAATTGAGACCAGCTTCTCCCTATTAGATTTTTACGAACTTGCTGTGTGACCCCGGGCAAGTCTCATGACCCTTCTGCATCTCAATTTGCTCATGGTAAAATTAAGGCACACCACAACCACACTAGGTTTTAGCCCTTGTGCCTAGCACATTGTCATGAGCAGGACTGTGTCATTCCATGCAGGCTGGGGGCTGGGGGAAGTGGAGAAAACTGAAGTGGAACATTTCTGCCATGGGAGGGGCCGGGGGAGACAAGGACCTGACCCCAAAGGTGTCCTCCCCACATCCGAAGATATATGCCTCTGCGCTAGGCTCCCGTGGGGAGCAGTGAGCTGGCCTAGGTCTGAGAAGAATTTGGCACTGGGAAGAAGGAGGTGAAAGGCGAGTAGCCTTGTCTTTCGGCTCCTCTTTGCTTTCAGCTAGCAGGAATTGGGCCGAAGAGCCGGATTAGGTTAGAAGGAGAAGGCGCACTGGAAGCTGAACCTGCAGACGGACACTGGCGCCGAGCGGCCCGGAAACGAAGCAACGGCGGGCAGCAGCCGACGTGGCAGCGAGCACGGTGCCGTCAAGCTCCTGCCCACTGCCCTCCTTGCACGTCATGTGTGGAATCTTGAACGTGAATTAGGGCACACAGGAAAAAGGGTGCTACCTGATCATGGAAAACTTCATGCAGCTTCACGATGTTGGGGTGCCCTTCACAGAGTTTCAGGGCTGTGATTTCTTTCTGCGTATTGGCTTCCATCCTGCAAGGTGAAGCAGTTAGCCTGTGTATCACCTCTGTCAGCATTGCCCCAAGCCTAGCTCTGGTTTTATTTACAGTGCTTTCAGAATATAAGTGTCAAATATCAGAAGGCGGTTTCCATGAAAGTAATGAATCATTCTACCCACCAGAACAAGTAATGCATTATCCTGGGGAAAATGACTGCATCTGAGTCAGAAAAGAGCCAGTCATGAAGAAATGGATGTTCTACTTGCCAGATTATGTGGTACTAAGAGGACACAATCACAGTGTTACTAATCGGTTACCAAAAGAAAATAAAACAGAAAACTACCCAGCTCTCGAGGTTACCAGGAGCTTGCTAAGTAATTTCAAAGAAAAGTGTTCCAAACATACACTAACATGAATGGCCAACAGCTGCTGAACTCACTAAGCAAGTCTGAGGACACAGCACTGCCCCAACGAAGCTTGCTCATAATGAACCCCAAAGCACATCACACCACGACTTAGGCCTAAAATGCATCCCTCGATCCGAGCGTATCCATTACTGCTAAGAATGTAAGGCCTCATCTGATGGGCCAAGTGGCTAATCCATGGGTAATGGGTAAAGAGCCTTAACATATACTGTTGATTTCCTTTTAAACAAATATCCTCATTCACATAATTCAGACTAGCACAAATATACAAGGAGCACTACCATAAATGGTCATGATACCTTTTGCTGATTATTTTGACTGCAAACGCTTGGTTACTTTTTTTGTGTGTGCACTTTCGGCAAATTGAAAAGCTGCCTTCTCCCAATGGTCTGTCCTTCAGATCGAGGTCATAGTGTTGGTAGAATGGAGAGTCCTGTTAAGAAAGTCACATCATTTAACTTAGGAGAACAGAAAATGGCAGGGTAATAGAAAGCTATCAACATCACTAAGTATGAATTGAATAAATTTATAATCTTCCAAAATTTGTCTCTTAGCTCCTTTGTATTTTCCTCTGTATCGTTTATCTAAGGTACGCAGCAGTACTCTGTGTAGAGAGGAGCCCCACTGAAGTTAACAGTCCTCCAGGGCAACCACTGCTATTGCCACTGATTTACTTTTTAAAACTGTATTTCAGCTGAATGCTGTCTACTAAGTTTGCCTTTATATTGTTGTTGTTGTTATGTGCCGTCGAGTCATCTCCGACTCACAGTGACCCCTCCTTGGGTTTCCGAGACAGTATCACTACGGAAGTAGATTGCCCAATCTTCCTTCCGAGGAGTGGCTGGTGGGTTTGAACCGCCAGCCTTCTGGTTAGCAGTCAAGTGCCTTAGGCACTATGCTACCAGAGCTCTTTTTTATAGACTGGAGGAGGTTAATTAATTAGCATTGGCATTTAAACATTCCTGAAAACCGTAAGTGTGCCATTTAAGTAGCCACATCTGCGTACCTTCATCATGGCACTCCTGGCAACATTTGTCATTCCAGGACGTTCCACTCCCACGTGAAACTGAAAGGGATCTGTGACGGCTGCATTACGCTTGAAGAGGATGGAGGGGGCAACAAAGGAATAGCCCTACAGAGGAAACAAGACAGTGCAGAGGGAGGGCGTGAGCCCTTCCAGCTCGGCACAGACGAGATGTGACGATTTTCTTTCCTTACATCAAGAGAAAAGAATGAAAGCCCACAAATATTTGTTGAGATGAATCTAATTTTATTTGACACTCAATTCAAAATGCAGGGTCATTTCTTATCAGTACAAAATGCTTTTCAGAAGGAGATGATGCCATCTTCTGGCAGAAGTAAGCCAATTCAAAATGAAGGGAGAAAAACACTTCCTCGGCATTCCACCTCCAAATGACTCAGAGCTGTAACCCTTTAGCGCTGCTGATAAAAGTTCACTTATAAACACAGCTATCTTCTCAACAAAGCTATAGTTATTAAATGAAATGGCCCAGTGCTACTAGTTTTCAAACTAGAAAAACAGCAAGTTTCATTACAGTTTCTAATTCAGTAATTATTTGACTCTTATTTTCCCTCTTCAGAATTAAATTTAAAATTACATTTTAGAAAAGAAATAACATCTAATGGTGGCATGATGTGCTGAACCAACAGCGGTACGAAGAGTGATCAGTTCAAGCTAGAAGGTTCACTTGTTCATTCAACAAACATTTCTCTAGCATCTACCAGGTGCCTGGCCCTGTGCCAGCCAGTGGTGCTACAGAAAGTGGCCAGAAGAGACCATTCTAAAATCTTACACCTAGAGGAGTCAAAGAAGTGAAGGTATGAGGCCATTTGATAGTTAGAATATTTTATCTTAAATGGAGATAAAATGGACAGTCTTGATAAATCTTGTCTAAAAATGAAACCCTTTCTAAATGCTTTTTAATAGTTGGAAAGCAGTTAAGAGGATTCATGGAAGATAAAGAATTAGGTAACACTTTATTAACTAAGGAACATTTTATATGAACAAAGGTAACAAAAATTAGTACTGAATTTTCTATTAAAAAGCCTGAGAAAATAAAACTTGTGGTATGAAATGAACAGTTTTGTATAAACAATAAGACATAAACAGTATCTGCTAGTTAGTCCAGTTAACAATGTGCAGTATCTTTGCATTTAATAACTATAAGAAGAGTAGAGAACCCTTTCCTTTGCTGTCAGAAAACCATTTTAACATAAGTAAGCCTTTCTTTCAAAGCACACATGGCCACTGCATGTGTGCACACTTGAGGAGATTACCTGGAACAGCCTCTCCGAGCTCTGGGGCAGGGCTGCGGGGGAATAGGTGGGGTCCATCTCTGTGAACTCCTCAGCAAAGTTACTCACGTCTAACTCATCTCGAATGACTGGCTTAAATGGTGCGGGCACTTTTTTGGCAGCTAAATCATCCCAATTTATTTTCTGAAGCAGAGAAAGGAAATTGGTACAAAGGAGAAATTAACACAGTGAACACATATTTCTGAAAAATAACAACTATCATTTAGGACTTTAATTGATCAGCAGGAAGAAAGTGTGATGGTTAAGGTTATGTGTCAGCTTGGCTGGGTCATGGTTTTCAGTGATTCTTAATATGATGTAATCATCCTCCGTTTTATGATCTGCTGTGAGCAGTCAATCAGCTGAAAGAGGAGTTTCTTTGGGGATGTGGCCTGCATCCAATGCATATGGATATTCTGGCAAAGCTTGCTCCCTCTCGATCCTGCATCCAACATGTTACCCTCTGACCTCCAGTTCTTGGGACAGGAGCCAGCGGCCTGCCTTCCGATCGGCAGATTTTGGGATTCGCCAGCTCCTGCAGCCCTATGAGTCAGAAGAAGCCTGCAGCCTGCTGCCCGACCCACGGATTTAGGACTTGGGAACCTCCACAACAGTGTGAACCATTTCCTTCCATGAAATCTCTCTCTCTCTCGACACACACACACACACACACTTTACTGGTTTTGCTACTCTAAACAGCCCAGTCTAAGACAGAAAGGCTAAGAACAGGACACTATTTCAAATCAATGACTGATGTTGTTAGGGGCTCTGGTGGAATAGTGCCTAAGGCATCTGACTACTAACCAGAAGGCTGGCGCTTCAAACCCACCAGCCACTCCTCGGAAGGAAGACTCTCCTTCCATACAGATACCACCTCGGAAACCCAAGGAGGGGTCGCTATGAGTCAGAATTGACTTGACCACAGTGAGCTTTATGTACAACAGAATAATGTTGCGCAGGCTTGTGCCGTCCTCACAATCATATGTTTGAGTCCACTGTTACAGCCACTGTTTCAACCCATGCCACTGAGGGTCTTCTTATTTTCCGCTGACTCTCTACCTTACCAAGCATGATGTCCTTCTCCAGGGACTGGTCCTTCTTGTTATGTCCAAAGAATGTGAGATAGTCTTGCCAGCCTTGCTTCTAAGCAGCATCCTGGCTGTACTTCTTCCAAGACAGATTTGTTTGTTCTTCTGGAAATCCATGGTATATTCAATATTCTTCACCAATATCACAATTCAAATGCATCCAAGTGTTAGCACGTTTTCTAACTGCAGCTTACGGGCCCCGTCCACTCTGTGACGTGGAGAATGTATGGCTTTACATCAGTGTGGGATCTGGTGTCCTCTGGAGGTACACCAAACACCCTAACTTGCCCTTAGAGAACTCAAAAGAAAAAAATACTGTTGTCCTGAGATTCATGAGGATGGTGGTAAGTTAAAAAAAATAAGCAATAAATGGCTTTAAAACACTGGTGGCATAGTGCCTAAGGCATTTGACTCCTAACTAGAAGGCCGGTGGTTCAAACCCACCAGCTACTCCTTGGAAGGAAGACTGGGCAATCTCCTGTAGAGAGGCCGCCTCGGAAATGCAAGGCGGGGCCACTGTGAGTCTGCCCGACTCGACGGCAGTGCTCTGGATTTCTGGTCCGGCTCTGGATACCGACTCTACGAAGCTCCTGTCTTCTGGAAGCAACGTTACTGAGCTCTCCGCCGTACTTGCCTTTCCTCCTGCTCATCTGGAAAAACGGAAAATATCCTAATTCACTATAAACCACGTATGTAACCTTAAATGGTGCCGACCATCAAACCGATGTAATCACTCTCTTCTCATTCGGTTATGTTCAAGCCTTTTCAACTCTGTCTCTGATGTCCTCCAGGCCCTTCCAGGCTCCTGCCACTCCTGTCAGCCATTTACTGTCTGGATAACTGTTAAGTCTTGTATTATTCAAATCCAACCTTCTGTTCTGTTTCATGTTCCTTCTAGCTACTCAAACCCACCTCAGGTAATACTTATTGGATTGAATCCTACAGATATCCTATTAACCATATTTCTTCAAATGTGCATCATTGATTATAAAACGTGTCATTATTTTAAGCAGTATTAAGAAAGAAAAAAACATTATCATCAATGAGAATAGCAAGGTGCTGCCCATCGGAAGATGTACAGAGTTCAGAGATGGCACAATGTGAAAACCTCCATTTCTTGGTTGAAAAAAAACTCAGTTAAGTTTCATCAACATACAATGTTTTCATTGTGCCCCCTTGTGGATGGAATGGAGACAAACTCATTAAGTTAAAGCTCTTCAACTTTTCCAGCTAAATGGGTTTTTGGAGATCATTTAGTTCAACTTTTAATTTGATTACACAAGGAAACGGAAGAGCAGGACTAAGAGCGGACTGTTCCGCTAAAAGACGAGCTGGTGGAAGAGTAAGGATTAGAACAGACTGATCTTGACTTTCTAGTCAGTTTCCTTCTTTGTGGCTGTAATGATTTCCATGAGCAGAACATCACTTGTGTCTGGCTACTGCACAGACATGAAGAGAAGCTGCTAGAGGAAAGGGGTCACTGGCGGAAACCTGCTGTTAGCAGGAGAACACTGAGTGTGCAGAACACTCAGTATCATTATGGTCCTCCCCATATCAGCCCCATTTCAGGAAAACAAACAATATTTTGGCCTTTATAAGTAGAATTCTTATTAGTTCTTCCTAAAGTGTTTCCTGGCATTTAAAAAGTGAAGGTATTAAGCAATCTGAAGAAAACAGAAAAGAGAAGTATGTCCAATACGAGCGACACGCTGGCATGTTCACAAGTCCAGGGAGTGTTGCCCTGGGTTGAGTGGTCTGTGTGTACATCTTGTTTACTATTGGGCTGAGAGCCAGCCCCTGGGAGTGAGTGTTATTCCAGGCTCAGAATGTATTCCAGGGCCATAGTACTGGGGGGTCTCACCAGACTCCATCCAACCGGTAATTCTGGTATTATTGAGTTTTGGGATTTAAAAAATTTTTGTTGTGATCTGGGTGAAAGTTTACAGAGCAAATTCCTTTTCCATCTAACAGTCCACGCATACCTTGTCTAATGACATTGACTACAATCCCCATAATGTAGCAGCTCTCTGCCCTTCCTCCCTGTGGTCACCCTTTCCCTGTGTCCTTCTTTCCTATGCATTCCCGCCCCCTGAGCTATCTCCCTGTGCAAATGCTGCCCTTCTGATCTCCCACGGTTGACTGTTCTAAGGAGTGTACCTACCTGGTGTAAATGTTCACCTTACACACCTGACTATTGTTTGGCTGGAAGCCATGGGAGAGAGTTCAATTCAGGCCCAAAGGGTGACTAAGGGCCATAGTCTTGGGGGTTTTACCAGTCTCTATCAACCAGTAAGCCTGGTCTTTTTTGTGATTTTGAGTTTTGTTTCACATTTTTCTCCTACTCTATCCAGGATCTCCTACACTGATCCCTTTCTGAAAAAACAGGGAGATTTGAATTTTCTACAATTTCTGCAGGAAAAGCAGCAATTACTATTTAAAAAGGGGATACACAGTGGCAGGAATAGCTCATAAAGAGAGAGGAGCAGGAAGCATAACAAAGTAAAAGTCTTAGTTCATCTGCCTAAGTCCTGAGCCATCAACAGCAACCAATGCCGAGAGCCTCTGACCAAGTGTTGTTGTTGTTTTGTGCCATCGAGTCGGCCCCAACTCATAGTGACCCCTCCTTGGGTTGCTGAGGCAGTATCACTACGGAAGTAGATTGCTCAGTCTTCCTTCCGAGGAGTGGCTGGTGGGTTTGAAC